CTTATTAGACTCTTAGGTTATCAAATTTGTGTCATATTGCAGCATCTAATTTTTTTTCTAATTTTGGTTTTGCGTCAAGTTCTTAGACAAAGTCTTTTTTATATGACTGCAGATGCAGCATTAGATTATTAGATTATGCATTGGGGGAGGGGTCACTTTTAAGTGCCCATGTTAAGTGCTTCAGCTTCAGACTTTTAGGGTCCTGAAAGTGAAACAGACCCTGGAGGAAGTGCTAAACGGTCAAAGAGTGCACCGAGACCAGAGAGCCAAAGGTCATGCCAGCTCAAGCTGTTAGCCAGACTCGCTGACCTTCATTCAGCGTCCACCAGAGGCAGCTTCATAGATAGGGAAGGGGGTCAAAATGCTTCAGTGCATCATAATGCGCACTGAAGTGCAGTACAAAAGTCAGAGACCTTCCTTCACAGCTGTTAAGTACAAGTTATTCATCATTAGTATTTTCTAGGAGATGTTTATGAGGAGATTAGATATACAATAGTCCAAGGAAGTCTGCATTTGCAACTTAAAAGTTATTCTAAAATAGTCCAGATTAATTTAATGTTGCTGTTAATCTAATATAAATGAACAAAGTAACATAGTAAAATAATCCAAATGAATCTTAAATACAATTACAATAAGTAAAAAACATTGTAATTAAATTGTGAGAAGAGGAAATTCAACCAACTTCTAGGACTGAACTTTGGAGATATGGAGAAATATCCCTACAAATTTCTTTCAAAAACTGAAAGCAAGGCTTGAGAAAAGAAGCTGTAATAAAGGCAAAGAGTGGACACACTAAATACTGAAAAACCCAATATTATATTTAGTTGTTGACACTTCTAATTTTCTGTTAAATATATTTTCTGCTTTTTTCCCTGATGTTGAAAAATGCCATTTTGACTGAAAACCAAACAAATGAAAATTCTGACTTTTGCACAGCACCATGTGTTCAAATTTGAGCCAAAATACATTTTTCAGGCTATTTCTAAACATAAAAATCCCAAAAAATAGTTTCTATTGTCCTTATTCCACTAAGATATAAGTAGCTCCTCCAGTCACCTTTAAAAATACAGTGTAATTTCAACACTGATTCAGTGAATCACACTAAAAGAATCAAATGTGCTTGATGATGCACTGAATCAAACTAAACAACTGGAATCAAATTGAATCTTATTGGTCAGAAGCTTACACCTCTATTATCTACCCACAGCCCTGATTAGTGGACGCTGCATGAAGAGTGGCACACCAACTTAGCTGACCTCAGGTGGGGATAGTAAGTGCCAAGAGCAAACAAGGGGTCAGGAAGTGTCCATTGACAGAGCTCATGCGTAATTTCTTCTATTCTGTCGGGAAAGCTGCTTTTTTGCTGTGATGTTTTAAAAACATAACACTGAAATTACTTAAAGAACGCATATGTGTTGTCCTTGTGGCACACATGCTCACACTAAGCACCTTTAAATACTGACAACAAAGAAATTTCCCTCCGAAAACGAAAGGAGGCGGGGCTTTCTTCACATTTCGAAAGGGTAAAATGGGCCTGGAGCTTGTTTCAGTCCAAATGGCATGCAAGGGGCTTTATGTCATTGAAGTGCGTGAGATGTATGAGTGAGAAAGTGTGATGTAGGGGTGAATGTGTGTGTGTATGTGTACAGTACTGTGCGAAAGTCATAGACCCTTTATTTATTTGATTGCCAGCAAAAGTGGCTATTATGTACGCTACTCATTTTTCAGAAGATGTTTCTAAGGAGGTTCATTATACTATAAGACAATCCACTTGCATAATGAAGGAAGAAGGCCAAAAGTAGACGTTTCCAAAAGTTGTGGACAAAATGGGATTCCAGTTGTTCAGCTGTTGAGATGTTTTGGGCTTTTTTAGACCCATTGTGTTGAGTTGCCTCTGGAAGGATGGACAGAAAGTACTGTTTATCTGACAGGGACAGGTGTGTTGGTCTACCAGATCCTGCAGGTTCTTGTTAGGAGCCTCCATGTATCGTAGCCATCCAAAGAATAGTAACTTTTCAGTTAATGTAAAGAGATTTTATTCCAAGTGATTTTAAGCATTTCTATTGGTCAAATCATCATGAAATTGTCACATGACGTAAAGGACAGCTGATGTGTTAAAATGATGTAGAAAAATAAAAATCGACACAAATAGAGATACACGTTTTTTTTGGACAGCGATGATGTCACTGCTGTCGGAAGAAAACCTCATATCTCCATTTTTGTCATTTTTCAGTTTTTGTCATAATCTGAAAATGTCTGTTCCCTGTACATTGTGTGTAAATGTCATGAAGAATGAACCGAAAGAAACAACTCAAAATGGCTTGGAAAAAAGTCTGGGTCCATTGACTTACATTAAGAGTAAAGTATGTTTTTTCCTTCTTCTGGAAAGTTGTCATTTTGGATATACGAGGTTTTCTTCCAACAACAGCGATATATTCCTCTGTATCTTTTAATAATTTTTTGAACTCCAATTTTGGAAACATGGAATTTTTTACTTATTTCCTATATATTCAACTGGACCATCTTATATCTAAACTCTCAAGAAATATCTAGTAAAAAAATTAATAACCTGTGCTTAAAGGCCATAACTGGGAACAAAATAAATGACGGGTGGTCTCTGACTTTTGCACCGCAATGTGTGTGATGTGTATATATATGTGTGTGTGTGTGTGTGTGTGTGTGTGTTAAGCTGTTTTCCTGAGTTTTTAAGCACACCCACCGTCATGGGCAATTCACTTCAGACAGGAAACAGCAAACTATATTTTTTCCCTTCGCGAACCAAAAGGTGCACAACGAAAAAAGAAAGAAAAAAAAGAAAAAAGCCCAGAGAAAAGAGAGCACACCTAAAGCACTACCTGTACAACGTCACCAATACACTCGCCATGCTCCGTACTATATACATACGTTCTGCCCAGCAAGCACTTTATACATAACCGTCGAAGAAACAAACAAACAGAAAAACCCATCCGAACGCAATGGTATTGCTGATGCGAGGGGGGGACGTTAGCCATCGGTACTCAAAGTCTACAATTCCAATCCTCTTTTGTTTTCCGACTTCCTTTCCATTGTTCATTCTTTCGTTTCAGTGCTGTAGAAGGCAATAGAGGAATGTTTTTTTTTTCTTTCTTGTAGATACAACCGTCTGTACAAATTAAGTGTTGTGGAGACACTACAAATGTGTAACACAGAAGACATTTCTTTTTTGCATATGAACATTTACAGTCTAGCTGTTGTAGAAAAAAATGTATCCTTATTTTTTTTTTATGAGTTACTATATCGAACATTCAGAATATTTCCTGAGTTTGAATTTGCTGTGACAAGGGCCACAAGAGAGAGAGAGAGAGAGAGAGAGAAAGAGAGAACAGAAAGATCCGAAAATCACCAGCATTACATTATGACTGTGCACTACACAGTGTAGACAGTTTGAAAGGGGAATTCCACCAATTTTTCTAAATAATTCAGTGAAGTGTATGTAGGATCATTCAGAATGCTTCATTTTAGACATGCCGGAATTGTTCACAGTGGCGGTTGTAGGAACCAGACATGTGAAACCTCTAAAAGCTAAACGCTTACAGAAAATTGCTACGAATTTGTTTCCTCATCAATGTTTTACGATAGTTTTTCGATCAGGTTTTGGCCTAAAACATGTTCATGGTGTGCATTAGGCAAAATAGTCCACAAAGAAAAACACAATTTTACCTTTATCATTACATATAAACACCCAGACCTGTGGGTTCCTTGCTTGTTTTTGATATATCCAATAATATATTTTATATTATATATTATAGTGGCCATATTTGTGTTGTAGATATCGCAACCACTACTGTACAGAAATCTGGGCATAAAGGAGCCTGTATGTTTCACATTAAACTCTGAATGACTTTACATACGTTTACATCTCAATGGTGGATTTACACAGAAATTTTAAAAATATCAGTGGAATTCCCCTTTGTAATTTAAAGGAATACAACCTATCTGCTGCATCTGTAGCATATGGCTGATTACAGAAGGCATTGATTTTGATGCACTTCCCCATAGTAGAAAAAACAGAAAGCATCTTGAATTATACCTATAATAGAGGCCTTATAATAGAAGCCAATGGGCAGATGCTGAAGATTAGCAGTGACTTCTATTATAAATTTTGCTGAGGGGAATTATTGTTTGTGAAAATCGACCTGATGCAAAAATGCAGCAGATAGAGATTAGGTAGTAACACTTTATTAGAACCTGCTCATAACATTGACATATGCATGCTATAAGCATGTCATAACAGATGACATATGCTGTCATGAGTTATAACAGATTATGTCCAGTAATATAACAGTATCATGTCACCATTCGTGCTTATTGTCATGGCAGATGCCATAATGTTTGACGTCATGACGGCTAACAAGCACACTTAGCATGTGACATAGACTCTGATGACATCAAACATTATGGCATCTGTCATGATAATTATAGGTAATGTAGTAATATAGCATGATACTGTTATATTACAAGACATAGTCGGTCATGATGACTCATAACAGCATAGGGCATCTAGCATGGAATGCTTATAGCATGGTTATGTCAATGTTATGTAGCAGGAGCAAATAAAGAGGCCTTTATGTTGAGTATGCCTTTAATTTAACACTGCTGGTTTTGCTGGGAAAGATAGAGGGAGAGAATAGCAGGAGGAGAAGGAATAATGAGAGAGAGACATAGAGATAGAGATAGAGATAGAGAGAGCTGCTGCTAGGTCCGTGGAGGTTTGAATGCGAGATGTGGTCAGAAACCCATCCCCTTGAGTGGACTGTAATACGAAGAAGACAGCGTTTGCACTGCGGAGGTCATTGGGGGGGGGAGGGAGGTTTAGCACCATCGCAAGAGTTCTGGGAGACGCTTCAGCCACTCTGCCATGGCCGAGCTGGAGAGAACCTGGAGTAACAGTATTGCTGCTGTTAAGACAACTGTAGTGTCAACCGTATTAATAAAAAGACGACAAAAGACATAAATATATATTAAAAAAAAAAAACAAAACAAAAATATATTCATAGAACACTGGCAGAGGCTGACCATCTCAACATCCCTCAGGTTCTGAGGGTTTGTCAGAAGACTAAATTAAATAATTAAAAAATAAACACAAAAAAAACATTAAAAAAATTAAAAAAAAAAAAAAACAACAAAAAGTGGAGAAACCACCGTCATTAGGTACAGTCCTTCCTCGGCTGTTCGTCAGTGGTACATTTATCCGTCATTTCCTGGCAGAAGTCTACTGTCACCGTCTGATTGGACTGTTCCAGGGAAAGCCCCGCCTCCAGGTAGGAGGAGGAGCCGGCCTTCGTCTCGTCCCGTTCGCCCGCGTGCTCCACCCCGTTACCCGCGCCCCACCTGCCAGACGCCGGCAGACCGTCTGGTTCGGGCGTGGCCGCTCCCGAGTTGGTGGTGAGGTCGATGCTGGCGGTGGGAGGGGCCTGGCTTCCGGGAGAAGCCGAGGAGGTGGGGTTGCCGGGGCGCACAACGGGGCAGTAATGGTGAAGCGACTGGACCTGCTCAGGACTCAGCTGGACGTCCCTGCACACCTCCTGGGACAAGCAGGAGAAGTTCTCCCACAGCTCCCCCATACACGCCTTCAGCTGGTTCCTCTCCGTCAGCAGCTTCTCCTTCTCACATACCTGAGGAGGAGGACACACGAAGGTCATTTCAGTTTACATTCAGTTTCTTTGGAGTTTGAAAAGTACAGTTTTTTTTTACTATTTTTAAATAGTTTTTTATTTTAATTCATTTTTATTTAAAGGAATAAATACATTAGTCAGCAATACAGTGGATCAGACACAGCAGTGCTGCTGGAGGTTTTAAACACTGTGTCCCCTCACTGTCCACTCTTAGACACACCTTATAGATGTAAAGTCAGAGACACTAGCTCATCTGTTGCTGCACAGTGTTGGTCATCCTCTAGTCCTTGATCAGTGGTCACAGGACACTGCCCACAGGACGCCGTTGGCAGGATGTTTTTGGTTGGTGGACTATTCTCAGTCCAGCAGCGACACTGAGGTGTTTAAAAACTCCAGACATGCATTGTGTCTTATCCACTCGTACCAGCACCACATCAGTGTCACTGCAGTGCTGAGGATAATCCACCACCCAAATAACACTTGCTCTGTGGGGGTCCTGTGGGGGTCCTGACCACTGGAGAACAGGGTGAAAGAGGGCTAACAAGGTATGCAGAGAAACAGATGGACTACAAAGTGTACTTATATGGTCAGTGGAGCTGATAAAATGGACAATAAGTGTGAATACAAGGAGATGTACTTAAAAAATGGCCACTCATTTTAAGAACATGAGTAAAATCATCAAATACACAATAGACAGACATTCTAAATCAACACTGTGACTGAGAAGAATGTGAAATGTGGACTATGTGATCCTATACTGTGCAGTTTACGTAAACGTGACCCAGATTGTTGCTGTTTGATGTGATTAAGGGTCCCCTATGCCTGCTCTACCCCCGCACGCATGCCTTCATGGCAGTGTCGTACAGCGGAATTCATCCCTGAGTGTCTTCAGGGAGTGACTGAGTTATATAGGGCACTCTACAGCACAGCGCGGAGAACACGTGACACTGTCTCTATACCATCCCTGCCAGAGACACTAGCGATACGCTCAGAAGCATATGATCATATTTAAACTGCAGCGGATTCTATAACTATATTTAGATTCTGTTAAAAAAGAACATTTCACATGAATAATCTGAACGCTTATCGTTTATGAGTCACTACATGGCCCAGGCATCGTATTCTGCTGGATGGAAAGAGGAGAAAGAGGCATTTTTCCAGCCACGTGTCCACTAGAGCTTGAGATATTTGTCCAAACCCGAAAGGACTCGACCTCAGACATTATTTTCCAAAAACATATCAGGCTTGTGTTTGGTTCACATCTCACCTCCAGGTTCCCACAGCCCACCTTACACTTTTAATAGATACCCCCTCATTTTAGATTTCCACTTACACTTTTTTTCCATTACTTTTAAATAATCTAATCTGATATGGTGGGGTCGCCCACTCATACTGCTGGCAGAATTTTGCACCGGTGGTCCATGAGACAAATGTGCGGGAAGTGAAACATTCAGGTGATTTGGGAAACAGATTAGTGAAGAGTCCTGCCGGTGGCATCTTGTATAAATAAAAATAATGTGGGGCCATGACTGAGTGAAGCGTGGGAATAAGATCCTAATGTGTGGCCACCACTTAGTAAGGCGTAGGAACGAGATAATTAAGTCATGGTCATGACTTAGTAAGGCGTAGGAACGAGACACTTAAATCATGGCCACAACTTAGATAATTAAGTCATGGCCACGACTTACTAAGGCATAGGAACGCGGCACTTAAGTCACGGCCACGACTTGGTTAATTAAGTCATGGCCACGACTTACTAAGGCATAGGAACGAGACACTTAAGTCATGGCCATGACTTAGTTAATTAAGCCATGGCCACCTTAGTAAGGCAGGAAAGAGATAATTAAGTCAGAGCCACAACTTAGTGAGACCTTATTAAGCTGTGGTCAAGGCTTAATTATCTCATTCCAACATCTTACTAAGTTGTGGCCATGACTTGTTTAGTATGTTATATGCAGCATGTTCTCTATGAAGAAATTGCTTTAGCATTAAAGTTAACAAGTTGCTATATTATTTATTTATTTATTTGTTTGTTTGTTTTATTTTATTTTTTCCCCATAATTAATGATGACTATTATCGTCACCACATGGTAATTCATGCAGCACTATCATTAGAAAGAAGGTGTTATTCTGCACTTTGGGTAATGAGTGGGCCGTTCAGGTCCATTTCCGACAGAGTTTTGTCGGTTTGGGTCAGTTTCACACTCAAAATTGATGATAATCAGGTTCTGGCAGAATTTTATCGACATCTTGTTGAATTAGGACTCAAAATTTGATGATGACATTTGGGTTGGGTTGAGTTTGGACAAAATTTTGTTGAGCTCAGGTCAGCTATGGACCCAAAACTTGATGATGTGGTTCAAGGCGGGTCAGTTTTGGACGGCTCAGGTTGGTTTCTGACGTGGTTGATGATGATGTGCTTAAGGTATGGTGTGGTTTGGACAGCATCAGCTAAGGCTGATTTCGGACTCAAAACTTAATGGTGCAGTTCAGGTCCGGTCAAGTTTGGACAGAATTTGGACAGGTTCAGGTCAGTTTAGGGCTCACAACTTGATGTTGTGGTTTGGGTCAGGTCAGGTCAGACTTTTTTTGAGCTTGGGTCCATTTGGGACTCAAGTTTGGACAGAATTTTGTCAGTTCAGTTCAGATTTGGACTCAAAACTTGATGATGCGGTTCACGTCAGTTCAGGCTTGGACAGAGTTTTGTCAGCTCAGGTCAAGTTTGGACTCAAGACCTGATAATGTGGGTCAGTTTCAGTCAATTTTTCTGTGTTGTTTGGACTCAAAACTGTGGGTCAGGTCAGACTTGTATAGAAACTGCTCAGGCTGTATTAGAGTTAGGCCTGCTTACAGCTGTAATCTCTGCTGACATATGTAAGATTGTATCGTGACTGTGTGTGTGTGTGCTGTTAGTCCTCCTACGACAACGCACCACAAACACACACGTGACAACACACTTCAAAAAGATCTAGCCCCTCCCCCTGGCATGGAAAATCCATAGGGGCTGTCCCAGTGACTGACAGCAGCAGCGCTGCCATGGCAACGGGGACAGGTGGGACGGCAGACTGGAAAATGGTATGGGGGAGAAGCCCTGCCCACTTTGGTCAGAGTTTTTTTAGATTGCCGAGGTCAAACGGACTTTCCCAATGTATTAATCAGATTATCTGATACTGATGCAATCAGTAAAGGACTTTTTCTGTAATTTATCAGGCTTTTTATACATTGACTACTGAAAATCTCAGTAGGAATGTTATTACCATAATGCATCATAATGTCTTTTTAACCTTTGAAAGTCTAGAGTTTAAATTCTCATTTCGCTATACATTTATAGCTTGATGGGGAGAGAGGCTGGTCCATTCTACCCACCCAGAGTGATCGAGGCCAATTATGTTGTTTTGGACTCCCAGCAGTGGATGGCTATACATTAGTTCCCATATTACATAATGATTATTGATATGTAATTATGTAATTAGTGTACATAGTTACATAACAAATTACATTTACATTCAGTGTACATGTTGACAGGTTTAAGTCCACAGTTCTGACTCTCTCCTTGAAACAATGAGAAAAACATAGCAAATATATAATATAAATATAATATAGAAGATGAAACGAAAGCCTAATTCTCGATTTTAAATTCTGAAACAAGCAGAGACATTCTGTCAAAAGTGCATATTCAAAACATTTAATCCATGAGACCTTCATGTTTATAAGTGGACAAGGAGATGTTTTACTGTTATTTGAATTTGGAAATTTAAACCATCCATCGCCATGGCTTTGTCAATGTTTCACATCAAAAGAAGTTGGATTACGTAAGTATGCAATAACGTAGGTTAATTATGTAGTTACATATAAATAGTTCTGTAATGTGAACCAAACATAAAGCCCAAAAACAACTTTTAAACAGTTAAATCAGCACTGATATTTTATATTCTTCATACTGAGTCAGATTTTCAGTAGGGGGGGTGAGAGTTCTGGCTAAAAATGAGAAATTAGAAAGAACACAGTGCAGATTTTTAAACAAGTCTATGTGTGTAAGTGTGTATGAGTTTGTGCAGTAATCAATCACTGAAATTAGAGAAGCACTGAAATGACAATTCCAAGCTGAAACCGGAACTGAAACTCATAACACTCCGAGCCGGAAACCGAAACTGAAAACTGAAAAAAAAAAACTTGAATTTGCCATTTCTTTTTCTCTTTTGAATAAACATGCTAAGCATAAAAACTACAAGATAATAAAAAAGTACACCGTTCTTACTGATCAAATCTCTTTTCAGTAGAACAATAATGACCATAACGAAAACAGTTTACATAAAATAATCATACTAATCATACTAAATTATTACAGTATGTAGGCTAAGGTATGAAATCTAATATCCTCAACAACACAGAATGATCCATCTTTCAAGGCAATGAATTCCAATTCCGTTTTCAGATAGTATCAAACCTGTAGCGGAGAAGTTCTTTAATGATGTGTCACCTCTTGATACTCGGCCTGAACAGTGATTATAAATCTCTTGTCTATTGTTCCTCATAGAAACTGCGAAAAAAGCTCCAGCAGCAGTTCAACCACTGTTGATCTACTGCTGCTCAAATTGTTTGAACGTGTCTGTGCTGACAGAAAGTGAAGCAAACAGTGTTTGTAATCACTGTTTCTCATTTTCATTAACATTCAAATGATTTTAAAAGTTAGACTGTGAAACGTGTAGTTCTAATTAGTCTTTTGGGTTTTTTGGCTCAAATTTTCAGCCTTTTTCTTTCTCTTCTGGCCAAAAACACAAAAAACGGTCACTTTTGAGGATTTTCAGTAAAATGTTTCCCACTTCACATGGTGTATAAGCCACTGCCGAACACTTCTCATTTCTGATCTTATGATATTATTTCTTATATTTTTTACCTCCTTATTATTGTTTTTTTTTAAACCATATATGGACCATTCTACTGACCTCAACAATGTATTCAAGCCTGTTTTTGCTCTGAACAATGTTGCCATCTGTGTAAAGCTGGTGCTGAACACGCTGTTATAAGAACTTTTAAAGAATTCATAGTTTGTCTCAGCACTGCTAGAAGCCCACTTTGTGTAGTGGACCAATCACAGACAGTGAACTCTCTGCTGTGTCATGGTCACCAACCCTGTAAAGAACAGATTCTGAGGTTTGGTTGGTGTAAATCATTCCCCTTAGCACATTTACATCATAGCTACATCCTACAGTTTGGCATCCCTGTAAATATTAATGAGTAAGTCAAATCAGCGTCGCTCTGGGTAGCGTAGGGTTAAGCAAAGTGGGCAGCAAGTGTCTATGGGCAAACCTCAGCTACTTAAGGTCAATGAAGAATCAAATAGCCTATGCTAAAGCTGGTTGGATAGCCTTGGAAAACAAGCTTTTCCACATAGTACACTATCCCGAATTTTATGATTCCAAACAATCAAACCTTCCAAAACTACCAAGGCCCAGCCAACAGTGTGTTCATACCAGTTTGCGTATCTCGCACTCCAGGTTGAGGATGCAGTCGAGCTTCCTCTTTCGGCAGCGCTGGGCGGCGATGCGGTTCTTGCTGCGGCGCCGCACGTCGTGGATGAACTCCAGCTGCTCCGAGCTCAGCTTGTGCATCTTCACCATCATCTGGAAGTCGTTCCGTGGAAGATTCGTGATTTGATCGATGGGGAAAGGAAGCTTGACCTGCAAAGAGATGGAAAGTGAGAATTTAGGACTCGATCCACCTGGATTAGCATTAAAAGTATAATAGTAATTTCTGTAGGCTAATCAATGAAGTGAAGTGAATAAAATGTGGGCTTTTTATTGCAGTAGCCCACCTCTGTACAATAATAGCCAATCGGTTTCAAATATTGGGTCAGTTCCGATAAGGATTGCTCCAGTATTATCTGCCGATACTGATAAGCCTCCAATATTATCGTGCATCTCTAATGCAAAGTAAAGATTTCATACTTCAGTGCAACAATGAGGCTGAACGTTTGAACCTGAATTTGAATGAAAGACCTTGTCGTTGATTTTTTCACCACTAGATGGCAGCAGTAGCTCATGACCATTGGCATACGTTGTGACAAAGAGAAAGCCGACTTTAAAGCCTATTCATCTCATTCCACCACAGGTAATGAGAGAGAGAGAGTGTGTGAGAGAGAGAGAGAGATGACAAAGGAAAAGGAGGAAAACATTCCCTCCATCTGTCAATGTGACTGAGGCAGAGAGCAGCCAATAACAGAGACAGCAGCATCGCTTCATTATTCCTCCATCCCTCCTTCAGATTCCTGTCGAGTGATTACTAGCGGGGATGATCATGCAAATCCGAGCTGTTAACGAGGAACCGTCAGCGCATCCTGCCTGACACGCGTACACATAAACTAGTAAACAAAACAGAGTGAACAGTAGAACAGCTCGACTGAAGCTGTGTGACGAGAAAACGTGAGGCCTTTTCTTTTTAGCGCTGCTGTTTCTGCTGCTGTTGTCAGTTCGCCTCCAGTTTTGGCAGCTGTTCTGATACGAACATCACACACTGATACCTACGGATATCTACAGAGAGAGAGAGAGAGAGAGAGAGAGCGCTGGAGGGAGAGGGGAAGGAGTAAATGGCAGGAGAAAAAAGGGAAGCAGTGTTAGAGACTGGGAGAAAGAGAAAGAGAGAGAGAGAGAGAGAGAGAGAGAGAGAGAGAGAGAGTGAGAGAGAGAGAGAGAGAGCAACTTATGTTACCCTTCAGATACACTTCAGGAATTCGGCGAAGAAAAAAGTAAAACAAGATGGAATAGGGTCTCGATCTCTCTCTCTCTCTCTCTCTCTCTCTCTCTCTCTCTTTCTCTCTCTCTCTGTTTCTGCTCTCTTTCAATGTCTCTCTTTCCATCTTTCTCTGTTAATCTCTCTGTCTCCCTCTCTCTCTTTGTCCCTCAATGTCTCTCTCTCTCTTTCCATCTTTCTGTCTCTGTTTAGCTCTCTCTTTCCATCTCTCTCTCTCTCTCTCTCTCTCTCTTTTCTCTCTGTAATTCTCCCTCTTTTTGCCCCCTCTCTTTCCTTCCATAATATCTGTCTGTCTTTTTCTCTTTCTCTCTTTCTCCCTCTCTCTCTCTGTTTCTGCTCTCTTTCAATGTCTCTCTCCTTCCATCTTTGTCTGTGAATCTCTGTTTGTCTCTTTCTCTCTCTCTCTTTCTCCCTCAATGTCTCTCTCTCTTTCCATCATTCTGTCTCTGTTTATCTCTCTTTCCATCTCTCTCTCTCTCTCTCTTTCTCTTTCTCTTTCTCTTTCCCTCTGTCTTCTTTCTCCCTCTTTCCGCCCCCTCTCTTTGCATCTTTCTGTCTGTTTATCTCTCTCTTTCCATCTCTCTCTCTCTTTCTCTCTCTGTCTTCTTTCTCCCTCTTTCTGCCCCCTCTCTTTTTCCTTCCATCTCTCTCTGTTAATCTCTGTTTCTTTTTCTCTCTTTCTCCCTCTTTCTTCCTCAATGACTATCTCTCTTTCCATCTTTCTGTCTCGGTCTATCTCTATGTTTCCATCTTTCTGTCTCCATTCGACTCTCTCTCTCTCTCTCTCTCTCTCTCTCTCTCTCTCTCGATAGAACAGTGGATGATGAGAGTATTTAAATGAAGAAAAAGTGATCTTCTAGGATTGGTGCAATTTTATCCACTAAAATAACGAGGCTAAAACTGACACTGATGAAAAAACCTCACAAAAAAACCTGCCTTTCTTCACTGGTGCTAATGAGCTGTTTTCAGAACAGCGTCTAGTTGATGCTTTTTACACTGAAACACTGTGATTGAACTGTGTACATCATCCCAACATGAATAAAATACATCATCACCACAGTTACTGTACAGCGTAAGTGAGCTGAGAGACAGAGCTGTGTTGATGTAATACATTTCTGGTGAAAACTGTGTTTTTCAGTGTACGTGAATGTTACAAAGAAGAAAGGGAAAAGTGATTAAGACTGTGATTTACACCCTTTGACCCTTGAGGTTTCTTTGGTCCAGCTGAATATAAAACATGCAAACATGAATATAGCAAGTCTGTTTCACTTATTTTTGTTTACTAGTAAATCATGCCTATACATCACTATGCATCATTTTATTGGCCAGTTTTTCATTTTTAACCCTCGTAAGTCTACAGTTATTATTCTCACTTTGCTACACATTTATGTTACATGTTTATTTAAGGGCCATTTCATAATGAGTTACATAGTCTTGTAATTAATTTAATTTAGAGTTGATTTATGTTCTGTATTGAAAGGTTCTAGTCTGCACTTTGGACTCTGTTTGTTTGTTTTGATGTCATATAGTAAAAAACACATGGGATGGATTTTCTTTGTTGCAGAACATGACAACAATTTCTTAACTTTTCTAACAAAACGTTCTCAACTTTTCATGTAAGTTAATGCAAATGGATTTTATTCTTAGTACTTTTGCAGCATTTCTATTGGTCCATTCATCAAGAAATGTTCCCACGATGCAAAGGACAACTGCTGTGTTCAAATTATACTTTCAAATCATAATAATTCAAATCTTAATTGCATCTCCTCTTCTAATCACACTCTTAAAAAGGATGGTTCTTCAAGGGTTCTTTAGTAAAGATGATGGTTCTATATAAAACCATTAGCTCTATCTAGAACAATGTGCATGCTTACGTGTTTCTTTGCATGGTAAAATGTTTCTTCAGATTGATGGAGAACGGGTTCAGCTATTGTTATGATGCCAAGAACTATTTTCAAAAAGGTTCTATTAAGAACCATATACAACACACACATACACACACACACACACACACACACACATACACACACACATCTTCTAAGCCGCTTATCCTTCTGGGTTTCGGGGGGAGCTGGAGCCTATCCCAGCAGTCATTGGGCGGAAGGCAGGAAACACCCTGGCCTGGTCGCCAATCCATCGCTGGCATATACAACACATTCTCCATCGATCTGAAGAACCATTGCACCATGCAAATGGTTCTTTGAATATTCATGGTTCTATATACAGGCACTGCCTTTACTAAAGAACCTTTGAAGAACCAACTTTTTAAGAGTGTATATAGAACCATTTCATGCTTAAATGGTTCTTTGCATGGGTAAAATGGTTCTTCAGGTCAATGGAGAATGTGTTGTATATGGTTCTACGTAAAACATTTATGGTGCTACACAGAACCTTTTTCAAAAAGGTTCTACACAGAACCATATACAACACATTCTCCGTCAATGTGAAGAACCATTGAAGCATGCAAAGAACCATTTAAGCATGCAAATGGTTCTATATAGAGCTAATGGAGCCATTGCTTTTGCTATAGAACCCTAGAAGAACCATCTTTTTAAAGAGTGCACAGACACTAATTTGTAGTTTAGAATCAGCATTTTCAACAGAATTTTTCCAGTTTATTGAGCTACAAGTGAGAAATAATTGGTATAAAATCCCAGCATGCTTTGTTTGTAAATGACCAGCTCCAAAAACCCAAATCCTGATCAATCCATTTAACATGCGACGAATTTGATATCTGACTGTTCAACATTGGCCTTAAACTGGCCCAACTAGCCTACTGCATCCTGTATGTAAGCCTGTTCCAGCAGAAGATCCAGACTGGTATCAGTAGGGGAGGCATTTAATTGCCCCAGGGAGAGGTGCAAGTCACACTGCTGATCTAAAATCAGCCCCCCAATCACCCCCCCCAACTCCTACCCCAAGCCCATTTAACGGAACTCCTGAAGAGACGAAACTGTTCCCAGATCAGTGATTTGACTGTGTGAAGCTTTAGGCAGAGAGATCAAAGCTCAGAGACTCTCTCGCTCAGACCCACACTTCAGAGCGGAGCTGGCAGGCCAGAGCTCAGAGCAGCGTGGCGCCTCATTAATAAGAGATGGGCTGCAGAGCCGGGGAGAGCTACGGGGGGCCAAGCACCCAGTCACAATGGCCAAGCCTAGATACACGCCAGGGTGACCACGGTGTCATCCAAACACTGCAGGGTCAGGCTCTGCGTGAATTCATTGTCATATATTTTCAGGACAAATAAAGTGTCCTGTAGGAATTTGGAAATAGAATATAAGATGTATAAGGAATGTACTTTGCTGCAGGTGTTAACATGAGAACAAACGGAAAAATAAACTACAAGTAACGTAAAAGACATGCAGTGGTTGATATGTACAGTAACATTATAAATATTGAAGCTGTTTACTGTTAGAAAGCACACATTTGCTGCTATAACAGAATCTAGTATTTTGTTTACAGGAGAACTTTAATGTATGTTAATGTAACAAGAAGCAACTAATAGATGGGAAATTAGGTCCATTCATTATTAAACTTTCATACTATGTGAAACAGAGGTAAGATTCACAAGATTTTCATAAGAGAAAAAAAAATACATATATAGATATATATATATATATATATATATATATATATTGCTTGTTTTTTTACAACTAAAAACAAGCAAAAAAAACACACACACACACACACACACACATATCCATCTGCAGGAAAAGACAGAGGAGATGGCACATTTCCTCTGTGACCTCCCCCCTCTGGCGAGACTGGTGGAGGGGGAGATGGAGGGATGAGAAAGGAGGGAAGGGGGCACGGCGTCGGAGGGACGTCTATATTTAGAAGCGGTCCGGCAACAAGGCGGAGATGACAGAGTGAACACCAGCGGCACTCATAAATTCAAACCTGCTCCGGATTCTTCACACACACACACACA